ATTGTTATTATTATTATTATTATTATTATTATTTTTGTTGTTGTTGTTGAAAATTCAGATAAATGTACAAATGCATAATGCCACTATAATGCCTAATGCTATTAATTTTGGTATAAAGACTTCACTCTCAACAGTATTGTGTAATTTATTTTCTTAATTTAATTTATATTATTTATTTTATTGTAGGGCTGTTTGTTGGGCCTCTCATTAAGCTATTCTCTTATCGGAAAGTTGCTTTTTGTGGTGCAATACTTTGCTCTTGTGGGCTTATACTAACAGCTTTTGCAAATAGCATGGCACATATTCTAGCTTCATACAGCATTTTAGGAGGTAAGTGCTCAAATATATTTTATTCAAAAAAAATACTAACAATATCACCATATCATTCAATATTACTGATGTTCATTAATGGACTCAATATAAACAGCAAATATCAGCATAATATTAATCGAAAAGATAAATTCTAATAAATGCAGAAATTGATAAAAAAATTAATGTTTTTGAACTTCTTTAATAATTATTAATAATAATTAAAAGTAATACTTTTTGACTTCTGACAATTTCAATTAAAATAAATAACAGTGTATATAGCAGTGGAATGCTTTATTTATTGTTCATGGATACCTTTTCATGAGTTTCATTAAATAAAAATTATTTCCAGGTGTTGGTGTAGGATTGGCATGGTCATCAACTTTTGTTGCTATGACTCACTATTTTTCTAAATATCGTGGGCAAGCAATTGGATTGTCAATGGTTGGCACAGCTATAGGTTTCATGGCTATGCCACAAGCTGTACAACTTTTATTGACTCATTATGACTTTCGAGGAGCCGTACTTATTCTTGGTGGTGTAGCTCTAAATGGAATGGTAGGAGCATTACTCTTGCAACCAGTTAAATGGCATTTAAAACGAATGCCTATTAACACAGAAGCAGAGATGCAGAAATCTCTTCTAAATGTAATGATCTATAATTTCATGGAAGTATTAATAAGTAAAAAAGAAATTTTTTCAACTACGAATAAATACATTTCTTTTTGACACAAAGATTAATAATTTTGAAGGTACATGTAAAGGAGAAAAGAAATTCTTCTGATGATGTTGAAGTACAATGGAGTTTACTTCCTGGGAAACCAAAAATTGAGATCACTCTTAGTGATGATACCCAGAAAAATTCAATGGGAGAAAAGAGACCACAGTTACCACGTATTACCTCAAGTAGTAGTATGGCTGCCAGAAGAAGGAAAGAATCTGTGATTTCAAATATATCTAGCTTGGATTTTACTGGAAGCACAGTTCACATTGCATCGGTGAGAATGGTTGAAGTTTTTCAATTATTTTACAATGTGAAATATTACTTTAAGATATAAATTAATTTTTTCTTATTACTTTAATTAAATATTTTTTTAGCCACTCGAGAGTGATGATGAAGAAGATAGACATTCCCACTGCCAAGTAAACTCAAAGGGACATTGGTTGAGGGGGAAGAAAAATGACATCAATGAAAATACCAATGCAAGTGAAAGCCAAGAGAGCAGTGCTAAGAGTAATTATTGGAAACGTGTTGTAGATTTCTTTGATTTGGATCTGCTGAAAGACCATATCTACCTCAACATTCTTTTTGGTCTCTCCATATTTTATGTGGCAGAATTAAATTTCAAAATGGTTGTGCCTTTCTTTCTTGCTGATTTGGAATACTCCAAGTCAGATGTAGCATTTTACTTGTCTATGACAGCTATTGCAGATGTCCTTGCTCGTATTGTACTACCTCCAATATGTGATCGAATCAAGATAACAAGACGCACATTGTTTGCAGTTGCATCAGTATTTCTTGGTCTTTCAAGATCTGGTAAGTAATAAAAAATATTTGAATCTGTTATTGTTAGACCCGAAAAGGCCATAATGAATTTTTGATTTCTCTCTGGATCCATTCTATGTCATTAATCAAAAATTTAAATCATTAACATAAGTGACAAAGAAATAAATGTCTTATTGTGATTCTTAAAAATGCTTAACTGATAGAGAAAAAATTTTGAAGAAAATCTAACAATCTTCTCTACAATGCATTTATTAATAATTAATTTTCACATTCATGTCATTAATTTTATTACTTGCATTTGAACTTCATTTACATTAAAATAGAGTAGATTCAATGAAATATGATTATCAGAAATATATTGGTGGTAAAGCTGAAATTACAGATTGTATCCCTCCATTTATATGAATAGAGATTGCCCATTCAATAATACAATCAATACAATTTTTATTTTTCACTTTTTAAATTTATTTTATGAGCGGGGATACAAAAAATTCCAACCTTGCCAAAATAATGGCCTACTTAGCATGTATACTATTTCAGTTAAAAGCAACACATGTCATAGGTCATTCACAGGTAATTTTTCGTTTACGTAACTAGTAGTAGGTAAATTTGAATAGCAATTAAAATTTTTAATTTTTAGCACTTGCAGAACAGACAGAATATGTTCCTCTCATGATTGCGTTGGCTGTCAATGGTTTCTTCAGAGGTGCTACACTCATTAATTTTACGCTTACTATTGCGGAACACTGCAGCTTGGAAAAGTTGCCAGCAGCTTTTGGCTTGCATATGGTTGCCAAAGGAATATTTATAGTTGTGCTAGGACCTCTAATTGGTGAGATATGTTCTCTCTCAATGTATTATTTTACATACAACCAGTAATCATACCCAGGTTTTCTGGTTTATGCTTGGTAGTTAAGTAATAAAAGCAACTAGAGTCTCAAACACTTTCATGGGTCTCTTGTATTGATTGTTCTTTGATACTCAATTGTGATCACTTTAAAACTTAATGTAAGTAGATTGGTAGAAAGTATTCTTTAGTAATGCATGTGAAAAATCATACTATGAGATTTTGTTTTTGTTTTGAACCATGTAGCAATCTCCAACTCAAAACTCATACAGAAATGAATCAGGGTATCTTTCTATATTAAGCTGCTCATGTATAATTTAATGTATTAATGCACTAGAAGCTTCATGTAAGTAATAGTTTCATTTCAATATTTCTATTGTGATTTCCTTTCTAACCCATAGTCGTATGATTGTGCTTATTTCTGAACACATTATTATAATTATATCAGAATTTCTCTTTAAATATCTATAATTGAAGAGCGGATGGGGAAAAGATGTACCAAAAACAATATTTTGCAAAAAGTGAGAAACACAGTTCCAAGACTAATCTGGAAAAATTGGTAATGGTTTAGTAATATTTATAATTCTATTTTGTTTACTAGAAACAATTATTTCAATCAAAAACAAGTAATATACAAAATTGAGTAAGAAAATTTATTTTTTCACTTTTTGTTTTATTTTATGAACATGGCTTGCTGTAAAAATTATGATACTTCACATCCATGAACTCTACCATAGCCAAAGCTCTTTCTTTTTTTCATTACTGATTTTGTTGCGAGAAACCAAACATGGAAGTTTTTCTAGCCTACTGAACCTAGCAGGACTGTCCTTTTCAGAAAATATTAGTTTCTTTCCAATCTTCAACTTCACTGTAAGTCTTTTGTTTTCACAACCAAACAATTTGACTTTTCAATTTTAATGCATGGCAATATACTTATTTGAAATTTGTTTATTTGTATGTATGTATCTGCTACAACCAAAGTCAAGGAAGTCTTCTTTTTCCATTGTAATAGCTTTAAACTCTCTTTTTACTCTAGCGCTTTTCACAATATCTTGAATTTCCTGACACTTCCTTTTCCTCTTTTCAATTACCTCGAAGTCCCAGTTGCAGGGTAAATAATTGTGCTGTAGACAAAAAATAAGTTGTATGACATCCTATGTGCCTTTATTTATTAAAAGCTTCCGTCTTCTATTACTTATTTTTGTATTTATTTCACTCATATGTATTATAATATTTCATCAATATCACTAAACTGTAACAGTATTCACACACAAGAACTCAGATACTGCTACCAGCTGGCATAAAACAGTGAACACCTAATAGTTCTAGTATCCTTCTCCGCAGACCTTGCTAATGGAGTTGTATCTTGCACCATCTGTTGATCAATGCATCAACTACATAGTAAGTTACTTGGACTTCTGTTACCATTGAATAGGCAGGAGGACTTACACCCTTCTTAATGAAAAAAGTGAAAATTTAATTCTTTGGCACTTATACTCTTTTTATTGTTCACTCTTCAGTTATATAGTCTGAATATCAAAAAATGCATTTAACATTTATAAATAAGGAGAAGGCATTATAATGATCAATTTTATTATAGGGTGTGAATTGACAAGGGCAATGTCAGCAATTGTCCTCTCCTTCCGAGGTTCTATGAATGTCGCTTTGATGGCTTCCAAAGTTTTAAATGTTCAAATCAACTAAATTGGAAAACAAAAATTGGGTTTGTAGATATTAGAATGTTCATTGGCATTGGGCTACTTATGAACTCCATGTATCAGAGTCAACATATTCAAACAGTCAATGTCACATGTGTGTATATTATTCATCACATCCACAATTATTAAAAAATGAAAATGCTATTTTTGTCATATCATCTCGATTGTCTTCTTCCTTTGTATTTTTGAACAACCCTCCTTGAATAAAATACCCATTTTGCACCCTGATTGAAAATTATTACTTAATTCATAAAAAAATGTGAATAAAAGTGCTAAAAATTATCGTTTCTTTTCTTTTAGGTATGTTTCGTGATGTCACTGACAGTTACTCATTGTGTATTCATTTCCAAACTGTGTTTATCTTTTTGTGCCCATTAGCATGGGGAATTGAATACTTTGTCTTGAAATTATGGCCAAAATCAAGATGATGTTTGTAATACTTTATTAGACATTATTGCAGAAGCCCAATTCCAGATAGACATTTATGTGCAGCCTTGAATTTTCAGACTGACATAAAATGTATATGTATTTGTATTTATAAAATAGTTATTTCAGAGAACATTGCATTATATAATTTCACTTTGAATTATATTATTATTTTTAAGTTGTGCAATTGAAAGAATGAATTTCACTCATTTAATTATAATGTAGAAAGCAACATGATGGTTCTACACATTTTCTGCCATTTGTGAAAATTTATATTAATAAATGATGAATAAATTGAAACTGATGTTTCAGTTTCTAATATAATATTTATAATATTGTAAAATATATTCATATATTTCTGTAATATAGCCTACTAATGATATTCTGAAAGTCAATGTGTTTGGGATTCAATAGTTTCAAGAGAACAGGGTAATTTAATTTGAAATAGCATAGCTGATTTAAATGGTTTTGGCTTGGAGAACATAGTAAATGCAAAGGGAAATCATAGTAATAAGCAAAGCATTGCATTAATAGGAGATTCCAATTACTGTTATATGTGCCAAGAGTTTAGGAAAGGAGGTGTCAATGTTTTAAGAAGTAAATTAGGTATTGTCATGAAACAATAAAGTCATTCTGCTATTAGAATTACTCATCAATGCATAAATTTGCATGTGAATGTACCCAATTTAGCAAGCTGAATATTTACCTAACCTGAATTGATAAGAATAGAAAATACAACATAATTAGCTAATTTTGACAATTTTCAATAATTATATTACGTTTTTCTGTTTTTTCATTAGGCGGATGAGAAATTATTTAATATATTAATAGTCTAATCAAGATAAAATCGTAACAATTGTTTTGTTGAAAAATTTGCTATTTTTGCAGAGGTTCAAAAATTCTAGTGTATATAATTATTATGGCCAAAAAATTCAAAAACTTTTATTTTGATAGTACCCTTATAAATATATTGTGTTTAGAGATTTATTTGGTGCAAGTGTGCAAACTTACAATGAACAGTGATGAAATTGCTCTAATTCATATAGTAAATATGAAATATTAATTAGAAATCTATTCACAAATTCATTTAATCTTTACTATTTTTTCATTCAAAAAATTTCATTTCCTAAATTTTGCAAGTTTGCATGTTTATTAATAATATGTAAATGTTTATTACAACAACATCTTTAAAATTTTTATTATAAATATTGTTTTTATTTTTTGTTTGTTATATAAATTTTTATTAAAAATTTGAAGACTAATAAACATCTTACGCCCCAGGCATATCTGTCTGAGCAGTTACTACTTGAATATTACATCTTAACGCATTGTTTTCTAAAACTAATGTACTGAGAGCATTAGGGAAACAAAATGTACAAACCTGTCATGGTAGTATTGATGTGGAATATTACAGTTATTCTGTACATTAACTATAAATACCTTTCTTTTTGTATTATTTTACTTAAAAATATTTTTGTAACTTTGATTCTCTAAGATTTGTTTTAGGAATAGTAAAAAACCACAAAATATTGTTGCAAAGAGTGCTATGTTGGCACTAATGCATGCCAGATAATTATTTCTAGAAAAGCATAGCTGAAATGAAGAAAAGACTTACATCTATGATATAGTAATTACTAGTAAGGGGAGAATCTTAAAATTGTGTTCCATTCTATGTGTGTTCATTGTGTTTAATAGAGCCAGGAAAGTTTTCTTTGTTGTTTTTTTTTATGCATTTATGTACACTTTTCATTCTGTGTATATTTTTTTGCTCATGGTTTTCATTATTACCTTTCTTTCACGTAATTAATTGAAAAGTATTTTATTTCTTATATCATATCTCAAAATATTTGAACTTAGTGTGTTCATTGTTATAACTTTGATTTCATAGGTACCTCTACATGAACACATGTTCAGAATTCTTTCATTATTCTTAATGAATTTGAATAATAAGATGGAAATCTATTTTGTTGGTTAACTTTTAAAAATTGTCTAATATGGTAAGGAGATAAATATTTATTTTGAAATAAGTATTATCAAGTCTTTAGTTTATCATTTTTTACAGATGCATGGTTATATGTATTTCACTCTCCAGTGCAACTTTATACAAATTTTGTACTGTTATGATACTATGGTTTCAGCAAAATTGTTTTCTGAAATAAATTTTCTCATTGTAGTAAAGTGTGTTGTTATTTAAATGCTTTCTTGTGTTATTTACTTCTTTCACTTCTTTTTGCCTAGATTTCTTTAATCCTGATCAGTAATAATGCTAATAATAAAATCGATTAGGATGATGAAAATAATAATTAATGAATATTCTAATCTGGTTATAAGCAGAGTGTGAAGTCACTTTTCCAAGCTCCTCCCTCCCCCTAGAAATGTCCAAAAAACGTGACTTTCAGGGCTGCGGAAGGCAACCTATCGCCTATGAGTGAAAGGAGTCGGACGTTAGAAGTTGCAAGCTGAATGATTAAAATAGACTGTATTTTTTATACTGTACCTCATCAATTAACTGTTCTCTTCTGGCACCAGTGTTATCAAATCATATGCACCAGTGTTATCAACCACGATTGGCCCTAAATGTTCATTAAATTTAGAGAACAAGAGATACTAGCAAACTGAAAATTTGATACAAAGATTTTAATATATTTTATTTTTTAATTGGAATCAGTACTGACAGCAATTATGGACTAAAAATAATGTAATGTTTTGTTTCAAATAAATTTTTATACTTAAACATATTCAACACCTCAACACAAATTTCAAACTTTAAACATTTTTAGTAAAATCACATTAAAATATTAATAGGGAAGGGAATATTTATCAGAAATAAATGTATATCTCTATTCGAACTTGTTGCCGGAGCTAGAAAGAATGCTCTGAACGAGCTTTGTAATCTCAAGGGGCAGGATCTTTTGGGGTATGAGAAAGATTTACATCCAGACACAATTAGGTAAAACAGTGCGTATATTCTCCAGAAAATGACACATATATCAGCACTAACAGAATACACATAAACCCCAAATATCAAATACACAAATATTCAATACGAAATCAAAATACTGTTCACACCCCTTAAAGATTGTTATTGCTTACTCACTCTAGTTCGAGTATTTCTGCCTAATTCACTACCATGTTACAACAAATACCCGTGCATGGTAACTATTGCTTGGCCAGCACTGTTTAAACAACAAATATTAACTCCCTACGACTGAGGAGTGCAACAAAATTACTTGCAGACCAGTCACCCGCGATGCCGCTCGAAAACGTTTTCTTCCCTCTCTCCTGCCACCAGATCCACGTCCAATGTTCTTTCGTCTCGCCTCTTGACCATGCCCGGCACCGGAATACTCGCCTCTGCTTCTTTCTTCGCCCCTCTTCCTATGCGGCACGCCGACGCGTGGTTCACAGTCCTCACGCGTGTATGCTAACGGCGTATCGGTTTTCTGGCATTCTTAACAATCCTTAGTCGTGAAGCTAACCGCACGGTTCTACTGACACCTCTCAACAGCTCACAGTACTCGCATTCGCGGCCCCTATTCCGCCTCTTATTTGCTACTCCACTACTTTCCACAGTCTGTAAGCAATATTACACTTCGCCTATTGGATCACAGTTCAGAAGGCTGAATCTTCCGCTTTCACATCATTCTTTCGCTTAAATAATGACTTTGCATCGTACTTTCTACAAAATTGCGTCTCACAATCCTCACATCTAGCTCTCTACGCACGTCCGAACTCTTCGACGTTCCGTACAAAAGAAAACTGCCCTCTCTAATTACTACCGCTCAGGCGGACCGCACTGGACCTCTCCCCTCGGCGTCTGGTTCCGAAAGAAGGCCGATCTTTTTTTTTCGACTTGGCCGAAGGTCGGTGTGGTGTTTGATCGTATCTTGATCGTATTGATCAGAGGATACTTGATCGTATTGCAGTGCACACGCCTTTTGCGTTTTACTGCTAGGTGTAAATAGTTTGTGTAGGTTCGCGATGGACCTTAGTCGTTTGCCAGTTTGGCGATTTGTTTAGTCACGTTTGTGACTATCTCATCTTAATGTGCGTTTCGCTCTACGCCTTTAGTATGTCTGAAGGGAGAGCTTATCGTCTATGCCCAATGGTAAGGACATGTCGTTGAAAGTTCTTTAGCGTAGGCGGAGCTACGTATGATTGAAAGTCTTGGTAGGCTTCATTGAATGATACCCGTCTCACGCATTAAGTGAAGGACTCGATATCAAGTTCCTTCTTCAGTACTTTCAGTCGTTTCCCAAACGGAAGACGAGCTATGAGTCTCAGAACTCTGTTCTAAATTAACACACGTGTGTCCTTGGATTTCTGGCTTGTGGTCCACCTCGCCGCCGCGGCGTAGGTGGCCACAGGCCGGCAGCGCGTTTTATAGAGTGCCAGGCGAAGATCCAAGGGGAGAGAAGGTTCCTTTAGGAGAGGTTTTAGGAGACGGACTATTAGGTGAAGTTTCGATCGGATTCGCCTGACATGTAAGTGCCAGCGCATGCTCCGGTCGAAAGTGATACACAGGTAGGTTGCCTTAGGCGCCCATTTGAGTTTTTGGGTTCCGATTTTGATTTTCTTGGGCGGAGTGAACTGCTTTGTGTGTTTGCGGCGAGAGAAACAGATTGCCTGAGACTTTTCCGCTGAGAAAGTCAAGTGGTTTTCTTCTGCCCACTTCAGAGTCAGGTTCATCTTTTTTTGTAGTGTTTTCAGTTTATGATCTAGGTTTATTCCTCTTGCTAGGACTGCTATGACGCCAGCATACAGAAATAACCTAATCCGTGGTATCTGTGGTATGTCGGGGATATACAGTACGATACAGTACAGTCGGGGAGAACAGTAGCGGGGAGAGCACGGAACCTTGGGGGACTCTGGCAAAAATCCCGCGCTTTGAGGATCTCGCTTTTCCCACTTTGACCGCGAAGGTGCGGTTTGTGAGAAAAGATGTAATCATATCCGTTACATCTTTTGGGGGGCTTCGTCTTAGTTTGGAGAGTAGTATGACACTTTGTCGAAGGCTTGTACCATGAAGTATATAACAGGTACATCCTGTGAGAGTATGAGGTCAGCGGAGATCTGCTGGGCCATACATAGTGCCTGCAGTGAGGCTGAATGTCCCAATCGGAATATATACGCCACCATATGTATGTATACATGCATATTGTGGTGTTTGAGACAAGCTCGGAAACACCATAACACCCACACAGCGTCGGCGAAGCCAGAGATCACCGGAGCACAAGCGAGCCGAATATATAGTTTCGTGTCTTTCTTTCAATTTTTCTATGATATATTCTGCATTTCATGTTTTTCTTTTTCTACCACTTCTAAATCAAATATTTCTGCCTGTAAGGTTCGTTTTATTTTCTCCACTTTTCGACCACAATATGCTTTTTGCCTCAGTATCTTTTTCCTTTTAGGGGTTTCATTCAGCACTGTTACACTTTAATTCAGATGTGATAATTGTACACTCTTGGCTGGCGAAGCTTCTGCTTCACTCGGAGATAGATCACCATCATCTCTCATTCCAAAGTTCAATTCCGAATTACTGTCTTCTTCTGAATTTCTATTCCGTTGACTAGTACCAGGCTTGTTGCAAACATTTTCAACAGTTCCTTTAGAAGTTTAACTTTAAATTGTAAAGATTTTTGAAGTTTTCCAACGGTATCTGCTACAATTTTGAAGTTCGGAGCAATTTGTTTATATTGTCCAACGTTTGAAGAATACTTTGTTACAAGTTTTAAATGTTTACATTCTGTTCTGCTATGATTTTCTAGGTTGAAAGGATTGAAACATAAATCATAGAGCATCTTCTTTGTACTTGCCATCTTCAATTAATTTTTGTCACTCTCCTACACAAGAAAAAGCGCACGGGCACTCACACGTCACAAACGAGTATATCACTTGTCATACACTGTGTCACTGCTACAGTGGAAGTGAATCGATCACGCCCCTCTGGCTCGATCGACAATAAAAACACTCTTCGATGTAAGAGCGGGCCACCCCTGGCGACTTATGTCGCATGGTAATTGATCATTCAGCCATTTTATATAGAATTTGTTCGCGACTGTGGCGGCTGAGTGTGCTAAACACTCTTCGATGTGAGAGCGGGCCACCCCTGGCGATTTATGTCGCATGGTAATCGATCATTCAGCCATTTTATATAGAATTTGTTCCGGACTGTGGCGGCTGAGTGTGCTGCTAACTGTATTTTCATAATGCTATATCTGTTTGTCTTTCCGTATTTGTCAACTGATATGATTAAAGTTTAATATGTACTACTGCTAGCCTCACAGTTTTCTATTGCCTGAAATCGTCAGTTGTAATTCATTGGATGCGTAGTAAAGGCTTCATAAGAAATTAAAAGTATCAGCATCTTCATAAGAAAGGTAAAGTATCAGTGAAAGTGTGTGAAGTGCGTAGAGGATTCTTTGGTTAGGTCAAAGTGAATGACTACCACATAATTCTAGTATGCAGAAGAAGAAATGTCATTAAAAATAAAATAAAAAAGAGTTGTATCATTTCTAGTTAGAAGATCAAAAAATAGGTAAAGGTTATGATAATTAAGTTGACACATTATTTGTGTGAAGAAAATATTATATGATTCTAAAATATTGTTGAAATAATGAATTCGTTCGTTAACAAAATGAATTAGGGAAGAAAAATATTTGTATTTCTCACACTCATTCTGCTCGTTCCTTTTGTGTATAATACATTTCATATTTAAATCCACATATGTACTTCATTTCTGCTTTGCATATTTTATTTTAGAATACTAGTATTAATATGTAATTATGTGAGATTTGGTTGCAAATTTTAATACTAATTTCATTTATCAAATGTATATACAAGTAATAAAAATTGTAAAAACTCCCAAATGAAGTAACATGAACAGCACAGAACACCTGAAGTGCAGCACAGAACAGCTGATGGCAGCATCAAAGAATATACAAGCAGCACTCTCTGTTGCCAGAATATGGAACTTCTTTCATTGCAACTTATACGTTTTGACGTAAACGTGCAAAAGCTCTTTCTCGATTTCACCCGATAATGATATCGAGACTGCTTTCGATTGCTTTAGTTTCGAGGTGGCACAAACTCCCTTTAGCCTTGGGTAGAAAGCGACCTGCTGTCATCGACGAACGGGCGTGAGCAGTGTTGCGCAAGGCCGCAAGCCCAGTGGA